CCGATTCTGTGTCTCCCTCTCTCTCTGCCCCTCCCCCGTTCATGCTCTGTCTCTCTCTGTCCCAAAAATAAATAAAAACGTTGAAAAAAAAATTTAAAAAAAAAAAAGCATCTTCCAAAAAAACAGGATGTGCACATATTCGATGTGATAGATGCCGCACTGCTCTCCAGGGAATGACAGTTCCCACTGCTCCGTATCCACGCCAACAATCATTTTTAAATTATAACAGTCTGCTGACTGTAGTGGTAGCTCGGAGTTTAAATTTGCATTTTCCCAATAAATAACAAGTTGAGCACTTTTGTATACAGTTATAGCCATGTGGATATCTTTTGTGATATGTGAAACTACGTGTCTATGTTTCCTATAGATTACCTGTCCTTTCTTAGTGATTTGTAGCAGTTCTTTGTACATTCTGCATGGGAGCCCTTTGTCAGCTGTAAGCATTACAAATCTCTACTGCTCTCTTGTGCTTTGATTTGTCTCCTAATGGAAACTTTCCTTACATAGAAGTTTATATCATTATCACAATGTGGCTAAATGTGTCATATCTTGTCCTTTATGGTTAATGCTTTTCGTATCTTTTTTTTAATTTTTACTTATTTTTGACAGAGAGAAAGACACACAGCATGAGCAGGGGGAGGGGCAGAGAGAGAGGGAGACAGAATCTAAAGCAGGCTCCAGGCTCTGAGCTGTCAGCACAGAGCCCGACGCAGGGCTCAAACCACAGACTGCGAGATCATGACCTGAGCTGAAGTCGGACGCTCAACCAACTGAGCCACCCAGACGCCCCAATGCTTTCCGTATCTTAAGAAATCTTTCTTGGGGCTCCTGGGTGGCTCAGTCAGTTCAGCACCTGACTCTTGATTTCGGCTCAGGTCACGAACCCAGGGTCGTGGGATTGAGCCCTGCGTTGGCTCAGTGCTGAGTGTGGAGCCTCCTTGTGATTCTCTCTCTCTCCCTTTCTCTCTGCCCCTCCCCTGCTCATGCTCACTCTCTCTCAAAATAAAAAATTTAAAAAGGAAAAAAATAAGTCTTTCTTTACCCCCAAAACATGAAGAAAGTCTACAACATTGTTTTCTGAAGGCTCATTATTTTTCCTTTTTCATTTAGACTTCTAATCCATCTGTCAGTGGTTTTTATCTTTTTAATATTCTGATTTTTTTAGAGAGAGAGAGAGAGAGAGAAAGCACGCATGTGCATGCATGCACAAATTGGGGAGGGGCAGAAGGAGGGAGAGAGAATCCCAAGCAGGCTCCACACCCGGCTCAGAGCCCACGGGGCTCCCTGTCTCACTACCGTGAGATCAGGACCTGAGCTGAAATCAAGAGTCGGATACTTAACCAAGTGAGCCACCCAAGGGCTCCCATCTGGCAATTGTTTTAATGTGTGAGTTAAGGGCAAAGTTGTGTTTTTTGTTTTTTTTTTTTTCAGTATGAATATCCAATTGTCCTGGAACCACCTCTAAGGAGACCATGTCCCCCGCACTGTTCTCCTGAGCCACTGTTGGTCTACGTCAATCCTCCGTATATGCATGGGTCCCTCTCTATGCTCTACATTCTGTTCCATTTGTGTTTGTCCTTGTGTTACCACCACACAGTCTAATTACAGTGGGTCTATAATTAGTCTTGAAATCCAGTAAAGCAAGTCCTCCCACCTTCTCCAAGAGTGATTTGGCTATTCTTGGTCCCTCTGAATTTCCACATGAATTTGAGTAAGTTTGTCAAGTTTCATTGAAAGAATCTCTTGGGATTTTCATGATATTGAGTTAAATCTGCTGATTAGGGGCACTTGGGTGGTTCAGTCGGTTAAACATCTGACTTCGGCTCAGTCATGATCTCGCAGCTTGCGAGTTTCAGCCCCACGTCGGGCTCTGTGCTGACAGCTCGGAGCCTGGAGCCTGCTTCAGATTCTGTGTCTCCCTCTCTCTCTGCCCCTCCCCTGCTAGCGCTCTGTCTCTGTCTCTCAAAGTAGTAAATAAACATTTAAAAAAATCTGCAGATTAATTTGGGGGAATTAACCTGTGAAAAATAATTAATCTTCCAGTGCTTAAACATAGAATTTCCACTTCTTCTGTTCTTCTTTAACTTATCAAAAAAATATTGCATTCTTTTTTTAATATTATATTTTTTATATACAGAAGTACCGCATTTTCTTAGATTTACAACTACCCACCTGATATTTCAATATAGTGATTTATTTTAATTTCATTTAATCTGTTGGTTGCTAATACAAAGAAGTAAAGTTGGGGTTTTTTTTGTATGTATTGATATCATATAAAGCAAACTAGTTACACTTGTTAATTCCTTTTGGACTATCTACCTATAATCAGAATGCCTGCAAATGGTGACAATTTTATTTTTTTCCCAACCTTTATACCATTTGTTTTTGTTTTCTCTTCTGTTAGTCCCCTGGCGAGTACCTCAAGTACAACAACATTCAGTGCAACTGACGACAGTGACTATGCTGGCCTTGTTGGCCATCTCACATGAAAAGTTTTCAATGTTTGACCGTTAAGAGTACTGCTTGTTGTAGACTTCTGCAGATACTCTTAATGAGATTCGGGAAGTTCCCTCCAGGGTTACCTGTTAAAAATTTTTATCACAAATCAATGTTGAATTTTTCCGACGCTTTCTGCATCTGTTGGGGTGATTATGTGATTTTCTCCTTTAATTGTTAATAGGCATTGACTGATCTTCAAATGTTAAATGAAAGCTTGAATTTGTGAAATAAACTGAGCCTGGTTTTATCCTGTTTGCTGATACTTTATAGAGGATCTGTGCCTCTCTACTGATCAGGGAGATTGAACCATAGTTTTCCTTTCCTTTCCCTGAATTCTTGACCTTTATAGACAGTGGCATTAAGATCACGTTGACCTCACATCAGGAATGGCAAATGTTCTCTTTCGTGATTCTGAAAAACAGTGCGTCGTGTAGATGTTATTCTTATTGTTTGGTAGAATTTGCTAATGAAGCCATTTTGGCCTAGAGTCTCATTCATGGACCCAACAGCTTTGATAGCTATGAAACTATTCATATTTTCTAATTCCCATTTATTTCAGTAAGTTATATTTTTCTAAGAACCTTTCTATCTCAAGAAAAAAAGACTTTCCTATTTCAACTCAATTTTCAAGCTTGTTCAAACTAGTATTCCATTTTTCTATATGAACAGAAAAATATTTCTAATTTTTCTATTTCAACTAAATATTCAAGTTGTAAAGCTCATACTACTTTTAATTTTTTATGTTAATAGAATATGTTGCCCTGGCTTTCCCTCCTGTCTGCTCCCAATCTTGACAAGGTAATTCTTTCCTGTTAGCTCTAAAATTTGAAAACCAATGGTCCAGTAATGCTCATTCTTTACTGAACATTAAATTCACCTAAGGAATTATTTCTTCTTTTAATGCCAGTACATAAACTCCATCCCGGGACAATTAAGTCAATAGTTTTAAGTAGATCTCAGCTGATTTCATGGGTATGCGGCATGGAGAACCACTGGTTGATGCTACAATTTCTCAGCCGTAGTGCTATTGACATTTTGGGCCTGAGAATTCTCTGTTATGACGGCTGCTCTGTGCATCGCACGTATCTGGCAGCACTTCTGGCCTCCACCCACTAGATACCTAAACATCCGCCCTGCATCCCCCACAGGTGTGACAACCAGCAATGTCCCCAAACATTGCCAAATATCCAGTCACCAGACAACCATGATTCCAGACCAGATGAGGTAGCTGTAACAGGGATATGGATTAAATAAGAGGGCAATTTCAACCGGTATGAAAACTATCTTTCCAATAAGCAGAGACACATGACATCAGAATGGACTGTTCCCCAGAGTCATGATGGCCTGTTGTGTTAGCTCGAGTGGTGGCCATAATAAAATAGCACAGTGTGGGCTCCTTTAAGAGAGGTAATGAATTCCCTCACAGCTCTGGGGGCTAGAAGTTCAAGTTCAAGGTGTCAGCAGGTTTGGTGAAACCTCTCTCCTTGGCTCACAGATGGCCGCCTACTCTTGTGTCCTCACAAGGCCTTTTCTCTTTGAGTATATATCCCTTTATATATCCAAACGTCCTCTTCCTACAAGGACACCTGCCATATTGGATTAGAACTACTTTTATGACCTCATCTAACATTAATTACCTGTCAAAAGGCCCTACCTCCAAATACAGTCACATTCTGAGGCACTGGGTAGTTAGGACATCAACATACTCATTCTGGTGGCGGGGACACAATTCAATTCACAACACCTATCAACGAAGGCATGCAAAACAATGGCCTGATAGTCACTTATCCGGGATATCGTAGGGCGGCTTTGTTCTCTGTTAGATAGAATATGAGACTAGTCTAGAGACCTTGTGATTACGAGATTCTGGGATACTGGGAAGAAGGCAGAATAGATTCCAACTGGGCAAAACAGGGAAAGCATTATAGCACAGCTGTACTTCCGATGCTAAGGTGAGCCAACCTGCTGCCCCAGGCCCAGGGAGGAGAGAGGGCAGCCATCCAGGCTCTGCACATGGGCACCTGCCATGGAAGGACCACAGACTTCAGCAGAGATGGTGACAGGAAAGACGGTGGAGCAGGGAATCGGTTCGGAGAGGATGGTATAACTAGGCAGCATGGGAATGGGGGCACAGACAGGAATGCTCATGGGGTTAGAAGTGAGTTTCAGCGTTCCTGAAACATGAGGCGTGTATTTGGGCAACAGTATGACGTGGTAGAATACTTTATGTGGGGACTAACTTGAATCCCTTGCACACCTCAAAGCTCTCAAGGAAACCCTACTCAGAACCCTACTGCTCATCACCGGCTGGCACAGACCTCAGACGGACGACGCTCTGCAGGTGTCTTATTTCCTGGGCAGCCCCGGAGACACACGGAGTGCAAAGTTCTTGGAAGAGAGAACCCGTGGAACTGCTTTGCAAAGAGTTGCTTTACCTAATGTTCTGAAGTCACTGTGGCCACAAGCCATGAGTCTCAAGTGTTTTCTCTCCCTTCTTACAGGTGCTGCCTTTCTCACGGGTCTCGGCCAGCGGTCTGACCACTACATATGTGCCAGGAAAGGAGGAACCTGTAACTTTTCTCCATGCCCACTTTTTACCAGGATCGATGGCACCTGCTATGGTGGAAAGGCCAAGTGCTGCATGCGCTGACTCTGGCCTGGGAGCGATGGACAAAGCATGCGGAAGTCAAGTGAAGTCTTTGTAACCGCTATTTTAATAAAAGAAGACTTTTTTTTTTTTTTTTTTTTTTAAAGCATCCCTCCTTCAGACCAAAATGAATCTTGTGTCTCCTTCTGGAAGACGTTGAGAAAGTAAGGGGGTTAGGAGAGCGGAGCTGGGCCGGGCCACGGAGCCTGCCCAGTACAAGAATGGGAGATGCTGACCACAGCATTTTATCACCAAACCAACAGGCGGGCAATGAGACCCAGGACACATGAGGAGGAAATGCTGCAGAGGAAAGCTTCCCTGATCCTAGAAGCAACTCAACGTCATCCCAAACTCAACGTCTTAGCAGCCTGGCCAGGGAAACGGCCCCTGTGCAGAGCCCGGATGGCTGCTTTCTCTCCTCCTTGGGCCTGGGGCAGCGGGTTGGTTCACCTTAGCACTGGAGACCCTGTGTCATGAGGACAAAGCTCCTCCCGTAATTTCCACTCTCGTGCCCAGACTCCCGCTCCACAACCACACCGCCTGGCCGCACACTGCCACCAAGAGCATCTTATGGCCACAACGTCTCATCTCACTCCCTTGGCCTGTAGACACCTGTTGGTGAGGGAGATGGGTCGCTCTCCCTTTTTTCCAATAAATTTTTTACCACTCTTGACAACGCACGTGGTGCTGTGGTCTCCTTATCTGACAACAATCTCATTCTCCACGTCAAAACGTTATAAGCACAAATGAAAATCAAACATTGTAAAAACATTATGAAACCAGAGGCAGGTTTCGGCAGAACAGCCCTTGTTTGTGAGGGAAAGGAGGAGGGGAGGCTCACCGGTGTTGTGGACATTAGCCTCCTCTGGGCCTTCTCTGTGACACACAAGCAATACATGGTCAAGGACCCCAGGACATCTGGGCCTCTCCCTTTCATGAAAAGCTAATAATCCAGAGGCGTTCCATTTTGAAAAGAAACCTCGGGCCTGCCGTCAGCTTCCCTCTTCCAGATACGGAAGCCCCCCCGCCCCTCAGCAGCATTTCTCTGGGTGTTAAATCAAAGACAGATTCCCGGAGGAGCCTTCCCACTTAGGGCGGCCGATGTTTGGGTTTCCCAAGACCCAGGTCCTCAGGCGGAAAAAAAAGCCCACATGCTGGGTTTACCTCACATTCTTTGGTTTACAAGGTTGTGGTAATTTTGCCTGCCCTGCCAGGAGCTCTTCAAGTGACCAAAAGCACATGCTTGGGGATCCCCAGCCACAGAGAGGGAGGGGACCGTCCTGGGCAAGAGGATGCCACCGTCCCCAGAAACCAGAAAAACTAACAGGATTCCTGCAGCCCATCCACCCCTAAGACATGTGGTCCCAGGGCTTCCATAACTATTCAGGTAGCAGTCCTGAATGCACATTTAAAAAATATATTCATTTATTTATTTTGAGAGCATGAGTAGGGGAGGGCAGAGACAGAGGAAGAGAGAGACAATCCCAAGCAGGCTCCATTCAGTCAGCACAGAGCCTGCTGCGGGGCTCAAACTCACGAACCATGAGATTATGACCTGAGCCGAAAGCAGGAGTCAGACGCTTAACCCACTGAGCCACCCGGGCACCCCATGACTGCACATTTTAAGAGACTGACGCTGACGACATTCTCATCTGCTCTCTGCGCCCCTCCACTCCGCGTTTCCCCCCTCCATCCAAAGGTCCTCTGAGCACATGCACTCACCTGCCCCCGTGTGCCCAGGACATTTGCAGGCTTGGAGCTTACAGAGTGGCCAGAACCCTCTAGACCCGGCGCTCCTGCGATGAGGCCCTTGCTGCTTCTAGCTCCCCCACCTTAGCAGGACCACAGAAGCTTCCCGCCTCTCCCTCCGTCTCCCCCCACGAATGATGCACACTCCTCGCCCTTCTCACCACTACACCCACCGGTGCAGCACCCCCCTCTGATAAGACTCAAATGCAAACAATATCGGCTGAGCCATCCTTGAAGGAAGATGGTTCTAGAGTTAAGGGGCTGTGTACGGTTGTCTACAACCCATTTTATTTCTGAACGGTTGCAAGGACCAATTTCTGGCCCCTAGGATGGCATTTGCGTCGATGAAAAGGAAGCATTGATGTGAATGAGCTCAACAACAGTCCCAGGCCCAGCTTTATTACCGTGGCTGTCCTTAAGGGATTACTGAGTCATGGTCCTTGATAGCCGGTCAACATGCTGACTCCAAGTGGGGCATGTCCACTGAACTAGACTGGTTTTGCACAGTTACCCTTCTAAGGAATCTCTCCCACCTCCTAATTACTTTTGCCCTTCAGGGTGCCGTGGTAGATAGAAACCTAGCTTACGCTCAGTGCGTCTGCTCACGAGACCATGGTGACAACGCAGAGGGCACTGTGACTGGCATGTCAACGTGAAATAGTTGGGGAGGGCCTTTACCATCTCTGCAGTGTTTGGGCAAAGCTGGACACCGCAACCCATATCCTGGGAAAAGGGTGCAACGTATCACTAGGGCATCTTGTCAACCAGCCCGGACACACACGGGAGCTGTCAGCATCTACCTTGGTCACAGAGGTATTTCAGAGAAAGGGGGGATGTCACCTACCATCTAAAACACACCCTAGCTTTGCTTCAGCTTTTTGAAAAAATGTTTATTTGCTTATTTTCGAGACACCGAGAGAGAGGGAGACAGAGAATCGCAAGCAGGTTCTGCACTGTCAGGGCAGAGCCCACACGGGGCTCGATCCCATGAACCGTGAGATCATGACCTGAGGCGAAATCAAGAGTCGGATGCTTCACCGACTGAGCCACCCAGGCGCCCCTGCTTCGGCGTTTGATAGTAAAATCATATGGTCTCATACAGAAAGCAATGTGGCATCGTGATTTCTGTGGCTCATGGGCCCATAAGGCATGTCACCAAATGCAGCAGAGAGATGTGTCATGGAATTAGAATGAACCAAAGAAGCATTCTCGCTTCAACGGGCACTAATACACGTTAGCCATTCATGATTTTGTCATAGGTTTCCCCGAAAGGGGTCTCCTGCAATAGTCCAGTACTCCAAGCTTTTCTCTGATAAAAATGAACGAACAGGAAACAACAGGAACTCTTCATGCACATGGGGGTCTTCAGAGTAAAGGTGTCTGTATCAATCAGGGTTCTTCAGAGAAACAGAACCAACAGGATGTGTGTATAAATATGAAGTGAGATTTACTTCAAGGAATTGGCTCGCACAATTGTGGACACTTGGTAAGCCCCAAATCTAATGGGGCCAGCCAACAGGCTGGAGATGTAGAAAAGAGTTTCAGTTCAAGTCCAAAGGCTGTCTGCTGGCAGAGGTCCTTCTTTCTTGGGGTAGGTCAGTCTGGTTTAGGAAGGCCTTCACCTGATTGGATGAGGCCCACCCACGTTAAGGAAGGCAATCTGCTATACTCAAAGTCCACTGATTTAAATGTGTTATATATACGTTATTTTCTGCCTATTATGTTTTGATATCTATAAAAAATGAAAAACAACAAACAGAAAAACCTTCCTGGTGGGGAAGACTGCCCCTCCCAGGGCTAGCTGACTCTTAGAGAGAGCAAAGCCCCAGCCAGGAGCATCCTGCCATGTGTAAAATAACCCATCCAGAGCCACACTCCTCTGTCCGGCCCATGCACCCAAGGAGGCAACATTCTTCCACCTCTGTCGTCCCAGGGCAAGGTCCCAGGCTACCGGAGTCTACCCCTCCAGCCTGAAGCCTTCCGAAATCATTCAAACAAGCCAGTCCCAAACGGTGAATCCTGCCCTGCTTTGCCTTACCCTCTGAAACTCCAGTGAAAGCAGGGGCCTAACCCCTCCCCGCCCTTCTGTATTCTGCCTCCTGGCCATGCAGGCATCTCCACGGGCCGCCGCACAGTGCGCTGTGCCTCCATCTCTAGGACCCGCGAGTGTCATAAACCTTGTGTCCTGGAGCCTCTTCTCAGTCTCCCTGTGACTGCACCTGACTGATCATCTCGGGGAAGATGACCAAACACTCAGGGTCAAGAACGGCACATCCAGTCACAGCCCGGAGGGGACTCAGGAGGTGCCCCACGATGGCCTGGCTGGCTGACTGGCCACCCCCAATGGGCTCTGCCCTCTGCGAAGGCTCAGTGGCTGCTGGTGTTCCATGAGCTGCTCTGCTCTGCTCTGCCTCTTTGGGGCACTGACAAGGCTTCTGGCCTGAAATCGGGGATCTCCTCCTGGAATTCGGCCCCGCTTCCAGCCAGTCCTGGCTCAGCAGGAGAGGAGAGGTCCGCCTGCCCTCCCCCACGAGGCTCGCACCACAGGCTACCACTATCACAGAGGCTCCCCCGTTGGGAGGGGCTCCCCAGCCGGCTCCCTGGGGGTCAGGTGCTGTGGGCTGATCTGTAGGCGGATGAGGGCCGGGTGCCCGTGACATTGCTCAAGCGGATGAGCACCGCGTTGACGTTCATCCTCCTCGTGTTCCTCCCAGCCAGTGAGGGGTGTTCCTTCAAGGGAAGCCCCGCCACCCGCAGGGCCCCAGGAGGGTCGACGCTGCTGCAGCCCCTTCTCCTCTGCATGTCCTGTCGCTGCTGCACTTTGTATCCCGATCCCACGGGCCGTCACGGGTCCCTTGGGGCTGTGGCTCGGCATTCAACAAAAAAGGGAAAGGAGAAGGAATATTTCGTTCCACGCCCCCTAGAATACCTGCAGAGTCTTCCTGGCTGAGGAAATTTGCCCCCAGGGTAGATACAAGGACTCAATGAGAGAGCTGTGCATAACGTCGACTCAGCGCGACAGAAATCTCGTTTCCTCTTGTCTTGCTCTTGGAGGTGCAGCTTCGAGGAGGGAGACACGTCATCTTGTCCAGGGGTCAGTGGCGAGGAGCCTGGCTGGCCATCTGCACGTGGCCCTCCGTCACCTCGTCCGTCTGGGTCACTATCGAGCTGGTTTTTCTGCTTGTGTGGGTTCAAGCGCCTCCGTCCGTGACAAGGAGTCTGACTCAGGGCTGAATCAGAATATCTGAGCAGGA